GTTGGATAGCGGATGAGTATGCCAACAAGCTGAGAAATCGGCAAGGCTTCAGATTTTAAACTTTTGGAGTGAGCCCCAGACGTAGGAACATGATGCCCCCAGTTTTGTTTTTGTGCAGTAAGTCCCATAGCAAGGGCTGTCAGCGCCAGCCGAAATGGCTCTCATGTGTCGCGGTCTAAAGGTACCTTAACATGGATGGATTTTAACAAACTATAGCTTGTTGGATAGCGGATGAATAGGCCAACAAGCTGACAAATCGGCAAGGCTTCAGACTGGAAACTTTTGGTGTGAGGCCCATAGCAAAGGCTGTCAGATCCAGCCGACATGGCTCTTATGTGTCTCAATCTTCTGTCTAGTTTATCTATATTTCAAGATAAATCACCTGGCCACGGCTCAATTTAATGCATTACTTAATTTTTGAGATAGTTTGTCCTCCATGACTATCGTTTCCAAGAAAAAAAGTGTGGAAAATGGTCTGTTTGGACTGGAACTTCACTCTCTCCAAGTTTGTCCTCCATGACTAGTTTCCGAGAAAAAAAAATGTGGAAAATGGTCTGTTTGGACTGGAACTTCATTCTCTCCACGTTTTCCTCCGCAGTTACACAAGACTCTGTTGAGGGAGAGAAAAACAATTTTTTTGTCGCAATCTTCTGTATATTTTGTCTATATTACAAGATAAATCACCTGGCCACGGCTCAAATTAATGCATTACTTAATTTTTGAGATAGTTTGTCCTCCATGACTATCGTTTCCGAGGAAAAAAGTGTGAAAACTGGTATGTTTGGACTGGAACTTCACTCTCTCCAAGTTTTCCTCCGCGTTTACAGAAGACACTGTTGAGGGAGAGAAAAACAATATTTTGTCTAAATCTTCTGTCTAGTTTGTCTATTTTTCGTGATAAATTAACTGATTACCGTTTAATTTAATGCATTACTCAATTTTTGAGATAGTTTGTCGTCCACGACTGTCGTTTCGGAGAAAAAAAAGTGTGGAAAATGGACTGTTTGGACTGGGACTGCACTCTCTCCAAGTTTTCCTCCGCGTTTACCCAAGACACTGCTGAGGGAGAGAACAACAATATTTTGTCTCAATCTTCTGTCTAGTTTGTCTATTTTTCATAATAAATTAACCGGTTACCGCTCAATTTAATGCATTACTTAATTTTTGAGATAGTTTGTCCTCCATGACTATCGTTTCCGAGAAAAAAAAGTGTGGAAAATGGTCTGTTTGGACTGAAACTTCACTCTCTCCAAGTTTTCCTTCGCGTTTACACAAGACACTGTTGAGGGAGAGAAAAACAATATTTTGTCTCAATCTTCTGTCTAGTTTGTCTATATTTCAAGCTTGAAATCACCTGGCCAAGGCTTAATTTATTGCATTACTTAATTTTTGAGATTAAGTCAAAAAGTTTGTCCTCCATGAATAGGCCAACAAGCTGACAAATCGGCAAGGCTTTAGTTTTGAAACTTTCGGAGTGAGCCTCAGACGTAAGAACATGATGCCCCTAGATTCGTTTTTGTGCAGTAAGTCCCATAGCAAGGGCTGTCAGCGCCAGCCGACATGGCTCTCATGTCTCGCGGTCGAAAGGTACCTTAACATGGATGGATTTTGGCAAACTATAGTTTGTTGGATAGCGGATGAATAGGCCAACAAGCTGACAAATCGGCAAGGCTTCAGACTTGAAACTTTTGGAGTGAGCCCAAGACGTAGGTACATCATGCCCCCAGTGTCGTTTTTGTGCAGTAAGTCGCTAAGCAAGGGCTCTCAGCGCCAGCCGACATGGCTCTCATGTGTCGCGGTCTAAAGGTACCTTAACATGGATGGATTTTGACAAACTATAGTTTGTTGGATAGCGGATGAATAGGCGAACAAGCTGACAAATCGGCAAGGCTTCAGATTTGAAACTTTTGGAGTGAGCCCCAGACGTAGGTACATGATGCCCCAGTTTAGTTTTTGTGCAGTAAGTCCCAATAGCAAGGGCTGTCTTCGCCAGCCGTCATGGCACTCATGTGTCGCGGTCTAAAGGTACCTTAACATGGATGGATTTTAACAACCTATAGCTTGTTGGATAGCGGATGAATAGGCCAACAAGCTGACAAATCGGCAAGGCTTCAGACTTGAAACCTTTGGAGTGAGCCTTAGATGTAGGTACATGATGCCCCCAGTTTCGTTTTTGTGCAGTAAGTCCCATAGCAAGGGCTGTCAGCGCCAGCCGTCATGGCACTCATGTGTCGCGGTCTAAAGGTGCCTTAACATGGATGGATTTTGACAAACTATAGGTTGTTGGAAAGCGGATGAATTGGCCAACAAGCTTGCAAATCGGCAAGGCTTCAGACTTCAAACTGTTAAAGTGAGCCTGAGACGTAGGTACATGATGCCCCCAGTTTCGTTTTTGTGCAGTAAGTCCCATATCAAGGGCTGTCAGCGCCAGCCGACATGGCTCTCATGCATCGCGGTCGAAAGGTACCTTAACATGGATGGATTTTGACAAACTATAGCTTGTTGGATAGCGGATGAATAGACCAACAAGCTGACAAATCGGCAAGGCTTCAGACTTGAAACTTTTGGAGTGAGCCCCAGACGTAGGTACATGATGCCACTAGTTTCGTTTTCGAGCAGTAAGTTCCATAGCAATGCCTGTTAGAGACAGCTGACATTGCATTCATGTATCGCGGTTTAAAGGTATCTTAACATAGATTGATTTGGACAAACTATAGTTTGATGGAAAGCAGATGAATAGGCAAACATGCTGGCAAATCGGCAAGGCTCCAGACTTGAAACTTTTGGAGTGAGCCTTTGGAGTGAGCTAAAGGACACTATCCTTACGCGTCTTCACGCTTGAGTGTTGTGCAAGGCATACTGCGTGACGCGCGGGGATTTTTGAACGCCTACGGTGTCCGATGAACTACTCGAGATTTAGGAGACGTATTCAATTGAAATTTCGAGCACTGATTTTCCACCATGTGTAACATAAGTGTATTGAATATTACGAGAAACCGTTGACCAATTAAAACAATATGATCGTAACAATGTCAATCCACGTTGACTCTAATTCGGATTGCGTAAAACACTGTATCGTTATGGTAATAAGAGCTTCACTGTTGGTCGGTTTCTTATGAAATTAAATCTGCTAATTTTTCAAATAACGACAAATCAGTGGTCAAAATTTCCATTTTTCACATCTTGTATTTCCTGAGTTGTTGCCCCCAAAACGAGTTTGGTGCACGGGAGATCGAGACCGCTATTTATGTGGCGCGCCCTTTATTGACAGAAAAAATAAAGTAGGCAATGGAGCGAGATCGAGATCACTAGGCCGGGTGCACCCGATCAAATAGATTATTCACGAGTCGGTCATTTTTGTCGAGTTCCCTGAATGTATTTTATTAACTGTTAACTGTTGAAAGGGATGGCACCAGATTTTTTATTCAGGCACAATGCAGCCTTTTTTATTCTGTCATGTTTTTTTTTTATTAATACGGCGTTAAACATTAGGGAATGTTTAATTACAAATTTTGTAAATTATTAATTGAAGCAGATTGCAATTTATTATGAATTACCTAACGCCTGAGCACTAATAGCAAAGTGCGAACGTCTCTAGTCGAACGCTGGTCAAAATGTCATTGCAAAACGTCTGGATCCTGGCTCCCTGCTGTACGTTATGAATGTGCGCGTCTATGGTTACCAGCGATGCAACCAGCCCCCGTAGGTTGGTTCCAAATAGTCGACTAGCGTAGTTAACCATCGTCGACTAGACAGAGTTCAGGCAAGGGTTAGTCGAACAATGGTTAACTATAGTCCTTGTGCGAACCTGCCCCTAGATTAAGTGATTTGTGATGAATACCTCGTGACTATAACATTACTGCACATACGTTGCTTCCATTTACATACGTTTTAATAAACATCTTTCCAATTGTTGCAAACATTTTTTGATTTTGTTCACTTTTTATCCTACAATTTGGTAATTGGAAAAATTGTCTGTGGGAAACGTATGGGGCTCATTTTTAGGCATAGATTTATATTAAATTACTAGAGCGCTAACTCCTCATTCTGCGCGCGGAGACGCTTTGAAGCCGCTCTGGGTGCAGACAAACATGCATGCGCCCACCAGGCATTACTATGTACACGAAGTTAGCGATCTAGTAGTGTGATATTATAGCTCGATGGTTTTTGTCACATTTTGGGGACAGACGTATGCAAAATAAAAAAAAACCGCATGTGCATCGATGAAAACAACACATGTGTTCCGAAAACTGTCAGCAAGGGTGTATTTTATGTTCACGGCTTGACATTTTGTCAATTAGTTAATTATTTTGGTCAATTACTTTTAGTAAATTACTTTTGGGACAGACAGAAAGAAAGGCAGACTGACCACCAAGTGACACGTAGAAACTCCCGCCAGAACTTAAAACATCATGTGTACCCAGAATTACAAGCACTTATTAAACAGTCCAGAAGGTATATAAATAATTTTAAAGACATAACCTATAGGTATATGCAGTTAAATGTACAGTGAGAGGGCGCTGTTCGATTCTGTGAATGATTTTAAAGACATTAGCCTATAGGTATATGCAGTTAAATGTACAATAAGAGGGCGCTGTTTTCTGTGAATTATTTTGTATTTACCTACAGTAAATAGCGTCCTGCTACCATGTCGTCCATCTTAAATAGGCCATGTAGGCACCAATTACATGCGTGCCTATTGCCTGCAGTTTCAGAACGAGAAAAGGTTTGCGAGATGTCATTGTTCAAAGTCTCGCCCTTTGGGCCTGATTTTTCAACTCGAGTTTATCTACAACTTGAGTATTTTATTTGGCGCGATAACTATTTTCGGACCACTTGACTCCGTCTTCGTCTGTTTTTATCAAATAATACTTTGGTACCCTTGTGCAAGTTTTAAATCCAACTCGCCTTTGCTTTGGTTTTTGCAATAACACCGCCCTGGATTCTGTGCACAAGCTAGATATTGTTTGCTTGTTTGTTTTTGATTATCAAAGATTCTTTGCAAACAAACAAGTCCAATGACGTATTTTCGTGACGCAGGGAGTCAGGTGGCATCCACTGCGCGGGGCGTTGTTGGCTATCGTATAATTTGGCCAGTTGGCAGAAATTCGTTCATTGCTTGGGAAGTTGTCAGCGTTGACTCTTTTTTTCCCCGTTCCGTTGAACCTTCATTTGTTGAATAAATTCAAGATGAGCCATCATCATCACCACGGACATGGACATGGATTGTTTGGCGGTCTATTTGGCCATGTAAGTCGGTTTCTAGATTTTCTTTTCTGATTTTTACCCTTTTGAGGCAAGGATTTGTCCCAACTAAATTGAAAGCCATGCAAAATCAAAAAAGGACTGTACTGCATGAGACAAGACCGTGGTTGGCGTACTTTGGCTTTAGTATAGTGGCGTAAATTGAATGAGTTATGCCTAAAGCCTGGGATCAAATAAGATCTTGAGAATGGTGCAGTTTTTCAAATTTCCTTTCAGAATAAGTGGTATAATTGAAATTGAAATAGAGACTTTTTGTTTCTAATATCTTTTTACACTGCCTACGGAAGTAGTTTTCTTTCTTTTTTTTTACTTACCTTCCTTAAAACCTTAAAGGAAAAATACAGCATTTGCAAACTTCAAACAGTAAAAATACCAAATCAATTTGAAATACCTTGCTGGACTGTTAGCAAATGATTGTCTAAAGCATCCTGTAAAATTGTGGCACCTGGTGTAATGTCCTTTTCAAGAAAAGTGGGTTTTATTGATTAATTTCCAACGCTGGTCGGAAGACCAGTGTTGGAAAAAAAACTGGTTTGTTTTCAAATACTAGCCAGAATGGAACATAATTATTTAATCCGCATTTGTTTGCAATAGTTCACACACCTATGAACGGGTACGAGTTAGCTTGACTGGTTCCTTGACTTTACGATTCCCCAATATTTATAAAGTGCTCCGTTTCATTTAAATTCAGTCAAGGAACCAGACTACATGAAACTGATTGTTTTTCTTGGTTTTTATAGCATTTACGAGCCCACAACGTCAGTGTAACAATCAGTGTAACAATATTTGCTAAATATTAAAAACCCCCAAATCAATCAATCATCTGAAAATTACAGCAAAAGCAAATGATGTATTTTCCCTTTAAAGTTTATTATAGTCTTTGCGTTGTGTATGTTTGTTTGTTTGTTTGTTGGGGGTGTTGAGTTGTCTGTTTGTTAGGTTGTTGGGTTGTTTGTTGGTTTGTAGGGGGTTTTGTTGGTTTTTGTTTAATTTTATGACTGCAGCATGCTGTTTGCATGTAAAAGTAATTGTTCGATGTTTTCTCTCTTTTTTTATGCAGCACGATGATCACCATCATGATCATCACCACCACGTGATTCACCACGACCCCCACGGTCACCACTACGATCACCACGATCACCACTACGATCACCACGGCCACCACTACGATCACCACTACGATCACCACGATCATCATTATGATCACCATCATCACGCCCCACACGTCAGCGGTGTAGCGGCTGGAATTGCGGTCGGGGCTGCCATTGGTGCTGCGCAACGGCAGCCTGCGGTTGTACACGTTCAAGTGAGTATAGAGCAGAAACAGACGTGTTTCCAGTCGTGTGACTTCTTGTATCCATTTGTTAGCCAACCTCTTGTTGGCTATTTGTGTACTTATGTGTTTAGAACAAGTTAACCTGACATAGCGTCTGCACATGTCTTGCATGTAAAAGTATTACAAACTCTAAAAGGCGTGTTTCAAAATTACTGCTGGTCGGTCTGTCTTTTTGATTTAATTTTCTGATCGTCCCTAGATTTTTTTCGCTTAATTTTTCCGGTTGCCTTTTTTTTAGTTCGGGTTTTCTTTAATTCAAATCTTCATAATAATGATAAATGTTTTTTATTGAATGGGCTGGTATGATTGATGTCTCAATTAAGTTAAATTCAACTAAATAAACTGAAATACATTTTTGGAGAAAGTTATATTGACAGTGATGTTAACCTTTCATAATGGTGTTCTTGTGTTAAGTCTCACGATTAGGCCGAGTGTGGCTTCAACTATACTCGTAAATAAACATCTTATTTGAAGTTATGCAACCAAAATAGATTGTATATTTTTCATTACCTTTTTTCTGTAATTCGGCACCAGTCTTGGGTGCTCCTCTGCAGAAGGCTTTGTCCTTCTCTCGGATGTCACATCCATTCATATCATTATTCTACTCTTGATGCAACATTTATTATATGACCTATTTCGTTTATTCTATAATTTGGGTAACAACCTTTTTGTATGAATGGAAATTTAAAGAAACAAAGAAACAAACTATGTTGAGCCCTGCCCACCTCTGGTTTGAATAAATTTTGCACTGTGTGTGTCACCGAGTTTGCTAATGTATACCACGGTCACCTGACCAAATGACGTAATGTGATTGGTCACTGAGAGACACTCTTGATTGACAGGCAGGAATGATCCATCCTTTTTCTTTTTTTTACCCCACCTACAGGCTCCTCCAGCAGTTGCTGCCCCGCCAGCTTACCCGACCGGTGCGATGCTTCCACCCGCCCCTGCTGTCTACCAACAGCCCGCCTACCCACAGCCTGCGCAGCCTGCCTACCCATCAGCCCCGGGATATCCTGCTTATCCACGCTAGAATTACATCATCGGTTAACGAGACTTGCAAACCTTCAGTGAAAACCTCCAATGCGAGGACAGAAGGGTCGTGGCTTCCTTCTTTTTAAATCCCCCGCTTCTACCGATCCATGCGCAGAGCGCTAGTACTGTGCCAGGGCAGTTTTTGTCATTCAAATTCAGTAACAACATCTGCATAACTATATATTGCTACTTATGCATACTTATTACCAATGAACGAAGATATGCCCTCAATCTTGAATGATAAGCTTTTCTGTTATGTTGTTAAGGTCATGGTCGTAATGCATGTATATATATATATTTGTCTGTCTTTTTTTTTAAAATAAAACTGGCATTCTTTGTTTGATGATGCATGCTGGCGATGACATGATCATTTTTTTCAACAGTGAATGAGTTTCAAAGTTCCCTTCAATTTGATTTATATGTAACCATTAAGTTGGGTCTTTAAGGCTGATAAAGGAATACGAAAATGAAGAATGACAAAAGAAAGCAAAGGTTTCAATAAAAGGGGAAGGCATATTTGTACAAGAATTTTTTTTTGCAATTGTTTAAGTTCGGTTTAAGGTCAATTATGGACCATTATTACAATAAGTTGATACATCTCAGTGTACATGTTTCTTTAATCGGCAACAGTTCAACTTTTACTGGAATCAAGGTATGTTCTTGCTTTGCGTTAAAGACAATCCCTGAAACTGCAATGTAAACAAATGTTTGCAACATACTTTTGTTTCTATCTAAAATACTTTGTGTATTAAACAAATAATGTTGAAACAATGTAAATATTATAAACAACATATTTTAATTGTTACCTGAAATATCGAGGAAAGTTTAAAACGTATTAAACAAATAATGTTGAAACAATGTAAATATTATAAACAACATATTTTAATTGTTACCTGAAATATCGAGGAAAGTTTATCTTTTAAAGCGAAAAATTGAATGTTTATGAACATGATTATTTTGATGAAAAAGTGTGAACAAGATACATTTATGTATTCCTTTCTACATTCTTTGTAAAATATATTTCAATAAACTGTTATGTACAAAATGATATCAAACAACTTTCCGTCTGTCTCTGAACTCATGGGAATGTATTTTGTTTAACTCTTTAATATCCTTATTATGCTAAAAAGAGATGTGGCATAGGGACTCCTCTTTTTCATCTTGCATTATTCTTTGAAATAATCGCTGAAACTCATGTCTGTCGCGTTCCTTTCCGAGAGCTAATACCTAAAAAGATGAAAAGTTAAACGACACATCCATACCGCAGTGGAAATACGTTTCCGATGTTCCAGTTACAAATGAAATACAGGATTAGTCAGAATGATCTGGACCCAAATGAAAGAAAATATAAAGAATATGTAGCAATTATCGAAACAAGTGCAAATGAAATATGTTATAGGCTGGTATTTTGGACATATTTGGTGAAATGTTCATGTACTATTTTGAAGAAAAGCGCTAGCAAAGAACACACGCTAAAACACACTCTGACCACGGCTCCAGAGTTCAACACATTTATTGAAACAATGCTGTCACATCAGTGCGCGATTTCAATAAATTGTATGAACCATTCAACCGGGGTCGGAGGTTTTTTTCTTAGCGCGTGTTCTTATACACTTGAAACTTTCATCAAATATGTCCAAAATACCAGTCTATAACATATCTCTTTTGCACTTGTTTTGATAATTGCTACATATTTTAAATATTTTCTTTCATTTTGGGTCCAAATCATTCTGACTCACCCTCTCAGTAGTGCAAAGGGAAACACAGATGGAATAGTATGCTGGGCCTGTTCAGCCAAACAACTAAAAGGGTCCATGCAGTGATTTTTTTCTTAGGAACATAATGTACATCTTTCTACTCCCCTAATATGTATGAACATTTTCATACTGTTCAGCTTAGGGGCTTTCTGTTCAAATTGTGAACCCCAAAATTTACTCATTGAAACATTTGTGAAAAGGTTTTGCTCACTGGCATACTGACATGTACTGATACAACAACAAATCCCCCCCCCCCAAAAAAAAAGAAGAGAGAAGAAAATTTACGACTGCAAGTATCCAACATTCTAGCAACATTTTGTGCCGAAATAGCTGTAACGTAAGAGGTTTCTGCCCGGAATGACACCACAGTTTTGCTCATGAATATAGAAAATTGATATAGCACAACAAAATGGGAATAAAACACCCTTGAAAATGGCAGAACGAAAATTGACAATAAGGTAAAATTGGACTCAAAGGTGCATTTTCAAGGATTGCATTGAAAATAGCCTTCCCTTCAAGATATAATTACTGAAACAATATTTCAAATTCCTATTTCATCATCAATTCACACGATCTCTGGTCCACGGTATACAGTCATTGCACATCCAAAAAAATGTAGAGACTTGCCAGATCATGAATTTTGCTTTCGTTTTACTGTGTATCATTGTGTGTGTAGCACTAGACGCGTGATAGCGTATCACGAGATCGGATGTTTCAAAGTTTAATGATTAATCCAGGAATGTGTTTCGTTTTTAATTAAAGGGCCCATGCAATGTATGTTTTGTTTTAATTCACCTTTGTGTTCCATTTAACCTCATTTTCAATTTTTGATTTGCCATTTTCAATTTGTTAGTGTCCTTTTTTGTTTTTCTGCTAATGCACATTTCAATATTCATGAACAAAACTGTGGTGTCATTCTGGGCAGAAACCGCAATGTTACAACCATTTCAGCATGAAAGTGCGACAAGTTTGTATACTTTGCTGTCTTAAATTTTCTTTTCTTGGATGAATCGTTGCTGTGTCAGTCCATGGCAGTAAGCACCTTTCGCAGCGATGTTTTCAATGAGAACAGTTTGGGTTCACGATTTGAAAAGAAAACCCCTAAACATAGAAAAGTGTTTTTCTGAAATAGCATCATTTGAAACCTTTAAATAATTGCACTTCTCAATAAAATTAACCAAAAAGGGGGGTGTCTTATAGTTTCCATACAATTAGGAGGAGTAGAAGGTTGAACAAAATGTGTTCCTAAGACAAATTAATCGTATGAACCCTTTATAGGGGCTTATTTCCCCATGGTTTGACTCAGTAATGCACGTTTCCTTTGGGAGGCAAAAACGTGCAAATCCTTTGGCAGGTGTATAATTATAGTGGCGTAACAGGGAGGGGGAGGTATTAGGGCCCGCCCAGGCCATCCGAGGCATGTACCCTCCTGGTGGCCCTCCTGCCAGTGGCGTAGCCAGGATTTTCTGTGCAGTGGGGGCCCGCGGGGGCACAAGCATTAAGGGGTCACCAATGGTGGACCGAAGAAAACTTCACCCAAATTTCCACGCCACCATATTAGTGCTGAAAATTTGAAAAGCAGGGGTGGGGGGGGGGGAGGGGAAAGACGTGCCCCTCCCCCAGGACCCCTATCCCCATCTTGGCTACGCCAATACTGGCTCTAATTACTGCATGAAGGCACATCAAGTTATTACAATATAAAACTTCAGAACTATTATAATTATTATTTATTCGACCATCACAAAAACAAAACAAAATAAAATTGAGTAAAACGATCATAAAACAACAAACAACAAGTACAGTAAGACAGTAGCGGGGACCTGGGACGAAAATCCGAATACATGTCAAGACAAATGACAGTTGTGTGGGTCAGGGACCGCAAAAGCAAAATGAACTACTGTTAACCGCGGGTATGCAGCCCCGCGACCCCCCGAGAACTGTACCGATTCCATCTTTAAAATCGTTGAAATCGGACGAACAGACAAGAAATATTATATTTATTCCCGAGTTTGGCCTTTAGAAAATGATTCTTTATCCGGAAGCGGAACTGCAGATGAACTGCAGATGTAGCCGTGGTTTGGTAAACACCGCTGTGTGAAAGGTGAACACAGCGAGTACTGTTCTAATTTTAGAATGACCTTTCCCTGATGTATACCCATTGTCAGCGCATATTATTGTTGTTGACCTTTTGTAAAAAGTCCTTGAGCTTGTATACCAACTGCAGTCACGCGGTGTTTCCACAATCGGAAACCAATGACGTACTTGCGTGACGTAGGAACACGCAATCGTCATGGGGCGAGCTATTATTAACATTTCCACTTCCATAAATTGAGTGAGAGTCGGATAACTTTTCATTCCTCAACCGATCGTATACCGATAATTTACTTGTGTTGTTTTTGTCGTTAAATTTTGTTTGTCAAAAATGCCGCTGCATCATCACCATCATCATCACGGACATGGACTCCTTGGTCACCACGTAAGTATTTGAGTAATAATTTGACAAACTCAATTATAGTACGATTATAGGATCATTTACTCTCCATGTACTTCGTTTGTTTCCAATAAAAGCACCACTCAAAATCCAAAGAAGAGTCTTCAAAACCTAACTGTGGAATGTTCAACTCGGTGGATACTATACACTTTTCAAGAAGAAAGTAAAAAGCCATGCGCAATCTTTTGACCACGAAACACACGATTTCGGCAACTCTTCTATTTGCAGTCTTATTTAAACAGGCTGGCCTCCTCAGTTAAAACTGCTTTCCTTGAGGGCCCTGTACAAAAATAAAGAAAAATTAAAATAAGAACTATAAACAAATTAATCAAGTAATGTTTAAAATTAAATTAAAAATACCATTATTAAGATATAAACATAAATAAATGATATTAGTTTAAGCAAATATATAAGGTAGTGCAAAGCAATACAAAAGATAACAGCATATTAATACAATGATATAATAACGTATATGCATTATAAAAAAAAACAAAATTCCACAAAATATTACGACAACAAACAAAGTTTACACGTACATGAATAAATGATAAGACACATTTACTTTTATTTCAAACGATCAGTCAATTGACGTACTCAGCTTTAACACAAACCTCTGCATGCTAGATTAGATTGGAGATGATACAATTGATTTTAATTGATTTCTTCACAGCACGGTCATCATCACCATCATCACCATGGTCATCATCACCACGGTGGGCTCATAACCGGCCTGGTGGTCGGTGCAGCGATTCGATCAGCGTCTAGGCGACGGGAGCGACGTGCAGTTGCTGCGCAGGTGAGTTTTTGTTACTGTTTCTTCCATTGACAAATTACCCCGTTTTGTTTATGTAGACTATCTATGTTTATTTCATAACGAACGGATATCCCTTCTGCTATCTTTCTTTACCCCGTCTTAAAACCTCTCGCTCTTTGAATACAATATCAACATATTCTCCTCTGTTTGTTTCTTGTTTGGTTCCACCTTGGCTTGGCCTTGTGGTTGGCGATTTCCATAAAAAACCTGATTTGTTTTTGACGTTCGTTTACTTTAAAGACAGATACTCAATTCAACATTATCCCTTTTCAAATTGTAAACCTTCAGTTTTTGAAAACTGGCACAAATTGGCACAGCCACTGTTCAATCAGATAATTCTCTAATCGTCGCCATTTCCTTGTTGTTGTTATTTTTCCAGGCCCCACCAGTGGTAGTTCCGGCCTACCCTACCGGGCAACACGCACCTCCAGCGCCGGTAGCTTACCCCGCTCCACCCGCCTACTCCGCTCCACCCGCCTACTCAGCTGCTCCGGCCGTACACGCTACACCAGCAGCTCCAGCGTACCCGTCAGCTCCAGCCTACCCGTCAGCTCCTGCCTACCCTACAGCTCCTGCCTACCCCGGCCCTCCTCAGTACCCACACTAGAAGGAACCTCGCATCTCCCTTGGAAAACCAGACTGAAGACTTGATGTGATACTGGACACTTGTTGTTCACTTGCCAAAGCACAACAATCTTTCTAACACAACAAGGAAGTAAACATCTTGATAAAATGTCAAGGAGTAGCCGAAGTGCCGAACGTCACATTGCATTAATTGAACAAAAAAAATCCCACATCAATGTTGGGTTTTCCCTTCACTGACGTACTTTTATTTATATAAACACTGTATACTCAAGTGTTGACCCGGGCGAGTGTTAGAAACAAATCAATCGGTTGCGATTCGAACTCACGACCTCTTGCTTACTTGTACAGACGTCCGAGTTTGCTGGGGTCAGCTGGCTGTTTGGAATCTGATATAGCATCGGGTAGCGATATCTATTTTTTTCCGTACGCTTTTTTTTTTATTTGTACACATGCATATATGGGCGTATTTCGAAGAACGTTGAGTTGCAAGTCAGGTTCTCGGACTTTAAATAGCATCCAATGGGAATCGAACTCGCACCATCGGATTTGTAATCCAATGTAGTAGCCATGACACTACAGCAGTGGTTCGATTGATGCAGTAGTTTTAAACATTATACTTCTGCATATATAGGGCCCTCCAGCATAATTCTAAATATACTAACAACATGTGGTATTAAAAAGAAAACATCCAGCGGGTCCTGCAAGAAAACTATTCATAAGATGAAATTTCCGTCGGGGTGATGTACGTTGAATATTGGGTTTTTACCCTTTACTGATGTATTATAACAAACACAGTTCACTCAGTATTGTCCCTGGTGTTTATGAGATGGCGATTCTATCTTACGAAAAAATTACATCAGCAAAAACATACATTGTTTTGGCTGGTACTTTATTAGTACAGGATTACTACAGGTAAACCAAGCATTCTGTGTTCAAGAAAGTTTGTCTGCTTGTCTTTAGACTTTTGTCTCTTCGAAAGACCAATTTGTTTATGACTTCAAACAAGTCGGTGAAACCGTTTATAGAATGTCGTGCAACAACCACTTAAATATAAAGTATTTATTTGCGTTTTTCTTTGTTGGAATTTTGTATAATTTATTCACATGTACTAGTTTTGCAAAGAACTGCTTGTATATACTTTCGTCACATATTATGTTTTTTTTATAAAATGTATTATATAAGCTGTTTAATATAACTTATTTTTGGGTAGATGAATAAAAACAATATAAATACCGATTACCTATACCTGTTTTAATTTTGATTTCTCGAATATATAACGAAATAATATAGTTATTTAGCCCCCTTTATATGGACACGCAGCATAAGGCACACATTTAGTACAGCGGGGTGGGGGTGGTAAGGGTTTATTTACCACCGCAATATTGTGTAAAGACAGCCCTTTTCCATTCAAGTGCCTTCTTTTCACTAGCGTCCCCCTCCAATAATTTTAAAGAGTGTATACCTTTAAAAAAACAACAAGTCCCTCCACTATTTGATTTTACTGAGGCCAAGTGTCTGGTGAAAAATACCTGTCTACATTTCAGCACGGATGTGCGAGTTCCCTTTTCAAGAACTTTGTATCCCGCCCTCAATAAAGATTGATTGATTGATTGATAAATGGTTTATTAAATCAGCTTTCTCGCTACCTTTAGCGGAATTGTGTGAAGCTGTAACAATATATATTAAGAATGCATTAATTTAAAAATACTAAAAAGTAATCATTACAATTATACTATTAAGAAATGATAAAGCAAAATTTAAGGACACCAACATTGATAAAATAGCAAATCAACAATTACATGTATTCTTGCTGTCTTCTTGTGGCAGTCGCGGCCCAATTACAGGGGGGGGGGGGGGGAGGTGGAAGAGATTACGGGGGGGGGGGGCTCATTTTCAGGAGAGGGGCACTCAATGGGTTTTAAAAGACACTAACCAGACACGATGATTTGATGACAAAAACCTTGCTCAAGGTTGGCAAAGTGAAGATGGTTTAAAGAAAGGGGCTGCAGGCGATCCACTGGGTAAAAGCCAACAGTGGTCGGATCGGGGCCAGGGCCCTATTCCTTGGCTTGGTTAACCAAAGAATTCTGCGCCTACGATCACCGTTCTTTGCTACTACTAACGGTGCTAGCAAAAATAATATGTACTTACCCTGTTTGCAGTTCTAGGATGTACCATAGCACGCATGGGCATAAGCCAACATTCCTCCCTAACCCGTGAAATATGCTTTCCGTAAGCAAGGAATTTAGTGCTACAGGATTAAGGGGAGGTTTTTTTCGCTAGCGGTAAGAAAGAGGGTGGAGACTAGGGTCACCTGTAGAGTTTGAATCTAACCATGGAAATCTGTGTACCGTCCACACTTTTCAGACATATTTGCTTGTCAGTTACCACTGCGGATTCTGAAAACGTACACATGGCAGAGGGGGGGGGGGGGGGCACGGGTACATTATGACCCAGCTAGGGTACAGCATAGAATAGTGGTTGTTTCACAATTTCACTCTTCTTGCATTATAGATTACAATATTTTTTTGGGGGGTGGTCTCAAAAAATAATAATCACTTTCATAATGTCTCCGATTGTCCATTCTACCACTTAAGTATCCCTGCTACTTATTTTCTCAGATTTTGTCGTCTGCATGCGTAGACAACGTAGTCAGGTTCCCTCACTGACAATTCACTGACGCCCTGACGTCCAAATCGTAGGTCAGGTAACCGCCAGCTGGCTAAAAAAAATAAACATGATGGCCCTTTTTCAAAGCTAGGCTACGTTTGCGGTGTGGGTTTACCATTGATGTTCCAATCAATTAAAAAGAAAATCACACACTTCTTAATATCATGGAGTAATGTTTCTGTGAACAGTGACTAATGTTGAGCTGGGGGTCTTCAAAGTAAGGGACCCAAATAGCGGGCGAAGCCGAATGGAGACAATGCTGAGGTTTTGTAACCGTTGTCAGATCCAAAATAGTACATGACGCAGCAAAGCTCGCCATGGCCCTCGTACGATGCGAGTGCATACTGGATGCACAAACTCATCATTGAATTTTTTTTTTTAAATGCAAGCAATGAATATTAACTGCCAACTCATTTTTGAAAATTTCAATACCCATGGCAGGTAGATAAAACCTACCTATACCCCAAAATAGCCGGGCGCCATGATTGTCGACGAAATGCATTCGGCACACTTTGGACATTTTCGGAACCTGGAGACATTCCTCCCGTTTTGGGCACGTGCCTTGGCGGCTACCTGTCCTGAGATTCATCAAAAAATAGTCCGAATCTTTTGGTCTGCGAACCAGACTACATAAACGCTGTCGTCTGCTTCAAAACGTAGTACGCATGTGGACTGGTACATGACGTAGGTTGAATAGGGTATATGAACACACGTGCAAAGTGACTAATGTTCTGTTTTTAGAATAACCTTTCCCGCATATATTTTCCATTGTCAGCGACTATTGTTGGTCCTTGCGATAAGAAACCATTGTAAATAGTACTCTTGGTTTGTATAGCCTAACTGTAGTCACGCGGTGCTTCGACAATCAGAAACCAATGACGTATTTGTTTGATGACGTAGGAACGCGCAATCATCATGTGACAAGCTATTATTATTAAACATTTCCACATCCATAAATTGAGAGAGCGTCGGATAACTGATCATTTTCAAACCGAACGCATTCCGATATTTTACTTGAATATTTTCGATCGTCAATTTGTTTTGTCTAAAATGCCGCTGCATCACCATCATCATCACGGACATGGACTCTTTGGTCACCACGTAAGTATTCGAGAAAAAAAACCTAAGAAATGTTAAATAAGGTGGTTCAATCTCATTCAAAAAAAAAAAACTTTAAAAAGTGGGAAATAGACAACTTTTACTCGGGAGGTAACACACTGAGTGTACAGTGTTTATACGTCGGTGGAGGGCAAAAGTTAATTTGATTTACATCACCCCGACACAAAATTCCGTCTTATGAATAAATTAAAAACTGGTAGTTGGTACTCTTATTTAGGCCTGGGATATTCTGTTGTCAGGGTTAACATTGGACCTGCTGCGTTTTAACACAAGCCTCATAATGCTAGATGAGATTACAAATCTGACATTAGATACAAATCTGACATATGATTTGAATTGATTGCTTCACAGCACGGTCACCATCACCATCACCACCATGGTCATCATCACCACGGTGGGATCGTAACCGGCCTGGCAGTCGGTGCAGCGATCGGAGCGGCGTCTAGACGATATGAACAGCCAGCAGTTGTACACGTACAGGTGAGTTCACGCCCGAGTACCTCCGTTTAAATAATAAACGTATTTCCAGTCGTCTCTATTATGCTTACAGTGTATTGAATTGAGTCCGCAATGAAAGGATATCCTTTCCAGATGACCTTTCTTTTCCTTCTCTGTCCCCAAATTGCTTCTCTCTTTAACTAGTAAATCTCAGTTGCGGTCAGCGATTACCAGTTCCCTGAAAGATAAAAACGGCAGGGAAAGTGCTGATTTGGGTTTGGTTATCCGTTCAGACTAAGGACTTGGGACGATTTCAATGGGCCCGAGAACGTGGGCACTAGTCCTCGGGAGAATTCGTGTACAAACCTTATGGGAGCTGTTGACAAAAAGTTAGTACAAACAAAAGGGAACACAAAGAGGAAAGGATCAGGTCCTCATGGGTACAGTAAAAACGAGCTATGTGTGAGTTTCTTCTGCATTCAATAGGGGACGTTGAACAATAGAGGCCAAGAGTTTCTCCAATTCCCGAGAGGTCCCCAATTTGGATTTGTGGACAAAACATATGGGCGTGCGTGTGTGTATTGTTTTGTTTATATAGTATAGTCCTAGATAGGCTTCATGCCAAGAAGAGGCAAGAATCGCCTATAGTACAAAATGAATCTTGGACACATGAAATAAGAATAGGAGACAGACAAGAGATTGTGGCCGATTCATTTCTTTAAATATTTATCTAATCATCGCCTTTTCCTTTGTGTTATTTTCAGGCCCCACCAGTGGCCGTTCCAGCCTACCCCACCGGGCAACACGCACCCTCACCCCCGGTAGCCTACCCCGCTCCACCCGCCTATTCAGCTGCTCCTGCGTACCCAGCTTACCCGTCAGCTCCAGCCTACCCCGGCCCGCCACAGTACACACACTAAACAGGAACCTCGCAAATCCCTTGGAAAACCATGCTGATGACTGGAAGTGATACATGTACTTGACAGTTCTTGTTCAATTTCCCAGATACTTAAAAGGGCAATGCAATGTATTTTTGTGTAATACAATCCTCGAAAATGCACCTTTGTGTCCCATTTATTCAAATCTTCAATTCTTGTTTTGCCATTTTCAAGGGTATTCTGATGCCTTTTTGGTAATGCAAATTTCAATATTCAAGAGTAAAATGTGTGACACCGTTTCAGGCAGAAACCTCAATGTTAAAGTCAGCACCACAAGTTGCCAGAATATTGGAGATTTTGTTGTCGTAAATTTTCTGTTCTTTTGGTAATTCGGTGTGTCAGTACATAGCAGTAAGCCAGTGAGAAACCATTTCTCACACATGTTTTCAGTGGTCACATTTTTGGGTTCACAATTTGAACAGAAAACCCCTAAACTGAACAGTGTCTTCCTGAAATGACTTTACGGCAACAGCGCCCTCAGTTTTCCAGAAAAGCGTGAATTACGCGTTGTGACCTTAGGTGATCGGTGACAATATTCGTGCAACAACAATTTAAATATACAGTATTTATGTGCTTACAAATATTTAGATTTTGTAGAAGTTGTTCGCCTGTACATGTTGTGCAAAGAAGTGTTGTATATACTTTGTCACATATAATTTTTTTTTATAAATGTATTACAAGGTGCTTAATAAAAGAGTTATTGTATTAGTGATTTCAAGTTACCTCACTTATTGTTTGTGTTTAATATCGATTATAGAATTACTGTTCAGCACAATTTTGCAGTCTATATGGACTCACAACATGGGGGTGAAACGTGAAGAATAATTTGCTTTATTATAATATCTCGGAATTAAGTAAGATTTGAGGCTTTGCATGGTGAAGATACTAAATAATTAAAGGTTTGCGGAAACACCATGTGCGAATAATTTCTCAACTAAGAGAATGGTTCTGAAAAGAACCAGAGGTATAAACTCGACGTTCCGGTCAGTATGCTCTGACCGTCTTCAATCTCGGAATTGAAAATGATTTTACTGAGTGTCTCTGCAGCAGTGGCGTGGGGGCATTTGAATGGGACACTCAGTTTGTGCGGGGGGGGGGGGGGGGGGGGGCACTTACACAGTTGTTATTACAGACTCATTTGTGCCTTATCCATAAAGGAGGGGGTAGGGGCTGGTTTGAAACCACATTACACTAGGTGCCGGTGAGGGGGGGGGGGGTGTTGGCGGCTGCCGGGCAGATGGTTGGACACCAAATTACACTAGGGGGCGCTGATCATTATACAGATGTACCCCTCACACTCCCTTTAACCTTACATTCAAACTTCGTATTTAAAGCTATAATTGTACCTTTTTCCTCTGTTTTTCAGAGCTGTTGAAATAATTTTGGTTGTTGGGTTGCCTTGAATGCAATTAGGCTGTGTGCATGTTCAAGCACACAATGTTTCCCCTTCTCTGGAAAACAGGTTTAGAGTCATTTTGGGGTTATTTTTATTTGTGGCAAAATGAACAGAAACACAAAAAGGAATCATAGGGAAAAATGGGTTGAAAGAGTTTTCACAGTGTGAGTAACATGATTTTTTTGACAGATTTGTCTTAACTACACGAACACAAAAGAATGTCCACACTAGGTATGTAACGTAAACATGCGTGTCTGTGTGGCTTTGTGCCTGTGACGGATCGGTGTTTTGCCGCTCGGTACTTGGTACGGGTAGGCTATGCACGGCCAGCAATGATATACAGCTTTGCTTTCAAGGCTAGTTATTGGGAAGTTCGAAAAATACCTCAAAATCCACATTTTTGATTTCTCATTACAAAAAGTTGGAATGGGGCGTGGTTGCGGGAGGGTGGGGGGTTTCCAAAAAGTGGGTGATATACCCCTCCCCCCCCATTAAGCCCCTGCCGATGTCAATGACCCAATAAGAGTGTAACTAGAGATTCACGTTTTGTGAGTTACAAACGCAGAGTGATCGGGCAGAAAACTGTTTCATTAGACATTGCCCGGTACAGTTTTGAATAATTTTAACTTAAAACAGAAGAAGGATCACGAAATTTAGTATTCCTTCCCGTGGAACCATTTCACATATTAAAAGTAAAATGCATGTTTTGGGTTTGATTCATTTTAGTAAACAAGTTACACATACATGGCACTCGAATTTTGTTAATATTCGGACTTCAAAGTGCACAGTGATCCGGATTTTGTCAAAACTTTATAGTCTGTAGATCGTTGTATGTACCCTAAACTATGCTGTGTCTGGGATAAAAACATCATCAATTGTTGCGCCTTGAGTTACGAAAAGACGATTGTTTTCAAAGTTAAAATGTTACAATCTTATTCCACAATTATGCAGCATCATATTTCATATTGATATGAGTAAATTGGAAAGGAAATCAGTATTGTTGAGATGGCGTGGACGTAATAATTGCAGCAGTGGCGTAGCCAGGAATTGTTCAGTGGGGGTGAGCGGGGGGGGGGGGGGGGCTGGAACATTTATGGGGGGCGTCATGTAGATCAATGACATTTTTTTTAGAAACTCAAAATTTCAGTGGGGGAGGGCGACTGGGGGGGGGGGGGGGCGACAAGGTTTCATGCGGGGGGGGGGGGCTGTCGCCCCCACGCCCCCCTTGGCCACGCCACTGAATTACAGTGATCGTGAAAACACATGCACGTTGGAAATCACAACACCAATTACACGATATTTAAACCCATTACTAGCCAATTGCGGTATAGAATCAGGATACATGAAGAAAGTTTCCTATCCAGGGCTTACTATTCGAGCACCAAGTGTGGGCGTATCGCCTGGGCACGAGCGTGGAGAATACCTCAATAACGGCTTAAATTTTGATCGTTGGATAGGTCTTTTAGCAAACGCGTCATTAAAGTATGAGAAGAGAGAGCTACGTAATTGTGGATGTGGACATTGTCTCACTTTATTTTGAACACGACACAATGACATCACCATGGATCATTGATTTACATTTTTTTTTAAACTGAGAGTCAGATTCCGTCGCACTGATTTTGCACATTGCACAATTATTTGTTGCGTGTAAATTTATCGACGAAACAAAACTATTTCACAAAAAAAATATATTTAAGGTATCAGTTTCTGACCTTAGCTAACTTCCAAGACTTAAATTCAAATGTCAGGCAACAAGCTATCTTTTGAAGGGTTTTGTTTGTTTATTTTTGGGCTAAAAATTCACGCCTTATCGGCTTTTACCGACGCAAGTGGCCCGCTGGATGGGTCACGGGGCTACTTTCGGTTCAAGAAAATGGACCTTGAGCGATAAAACGGAGCAATTTGGCAATTAAATTGTTGGTGTTGTTTACCCTGATTACTATTATTTCTTTGACTTCTGTCTTGTCACGTTTCCTACCCATAGTCCAATGACGTATTTCGTGACGCAGGTTGATCCGGTCACGTGACAAACTTTTGCCACGAGGATGGTTATATCTAGGGGTGTGATACCGGGTGCTTTTCATTCGAGCCCGGGCCGCCAACAACTCACCAACTTCCTTCAGTTTCTTGGTCTGAATTTGTTCAGTTTCCGCCGTCAAGCAGAATGAGCCATCATCATGGACATGGACAAGGGCATGGCAGCGGCCATGGTATCCTAGGCAACATCTTCGGTGGTGGACATCATGTAAGTTTTCCCCAAGATTTCTTCGGTGAAATCGTGTACTTTTCCAGGTTAACCTGCCACTTAAGTGTCCTTAGATACTTACTTAATGCCTTGATGATGCCTAGTGGCACCTTAGCCATCAACAAAGCTCCTCCATCTTGGTCTGTTCTTTGCTAGCCTTTCCAGTTCCTTGCAGCTGTGTCCCATCTGTCTCGCATCAGCCATTGTGTCTTGCTGCCAAATGTTCTTTGGCCTTCTTCTATTTCTTTTCCCTTGTAAATTCCAAGTCAAAGCTTGGGGCTAATCGGGGCTAATTTATCTTGATGCCGTCAAGAATGTTCATTCGGTATAGATCGGGGTATTCGTGGCAATAGGTCGGAAATGTGTAAACCTATCGTTAGAGTGTGGACGATCCACCTCCATTTGCGCTTGAGGATCTCTTCCCCAATTGGGGATTGTTGAGCTCTCTAGTTAAACTATTATATTTCCTTGCCAAGAAAAGTAAAAAGGAATAATAATGGTTCTTATTGCACTCCAAGTAGAACAATTAAAAATGAACTCAAATATTTTCGAATTTGCCAAATGCCAAAAAGACATGTAAAGTGTATATCACAGTATACATCGCAGGTACTGCAGTTTAGGGGTCTATGCGTTCGATTCCCATCAGTCAAATGTTCTATTAAAAAAACAAACTACATTAATTTTGCTAATTTTGCTATAAAAGTACTTTTCCGCATGAGTTTGTAACTGCGCTACCTCTGTGTCATGATGAGTAATCACGAAAGACACACTTTGATTTGGAATGGGATATTTTTATTTCTGTAAATCAGGATAGTCACCACGCTCCTCACCATGGAGGTCACCATGACCCTCACCACCACGTTGACCCGCATCACCACGTTGACCCTCACCACCACGTGGACCCGCATCACCACGTTGATCCTCACCACCACGTGGACCCACACCACGCACCTGTGCACCATGATGTGCATGTAAGTTCGTTTCCAAAAAATGTATCCCTCATAAGCCCAAACATAATTATTGAAGCCCACACGGAATTTTTAATGGGCCAGCATAATTGCTCGTACTGAGTGACTTACTGACCGATATTCTGACTGACTGACTGACCGAGTGACTGCCTGACATGCTGACTGAGTGACTGGCGGACTGACTGCCCGCTTCACTTACTGACCTACTGAGCAAGTGAGTGCCTCACTGATTGACCTCCTGACCGAGTGACAGTCAGCCGACTGACTGCCTGCCTGACTGACTGACCGAATGACTGGGTGACCTTCTGACTGCCCGACTCCCCGAACTTCTGACTGCCTGACTGCCTGACTGCCTGACCTACTGACCGAGTGAGTGCCTGACTGTCTCCCCGACTGATCTACTGACTGGCTGACTCCCCGTCTGACTGACTGACTGACCTATAGACCTTTATCATGCTGCCACCATTTCAGTCGTGTTCCCTGTGTCCATTAACAGTACTGAATGATAATGTGTTTGTGCAGAAAGGAACCATACTATTGTTCCTTCCAGCCTCGCTTCGGTTACGTTGATTCGAATGGGAAAAAAAAATCAAGATAGCTGCAACATGATAATGGTCTATTGAATGACTGGGTGACTGACGATCTTACTGACTGACTGGCTCAGTTTAAAATGTCGTAAACTGAGTCTTTTAGGTCCAGCTCAACCT